GTACTAAGCTTCACTTCTTATCTTCTTTCCTCAAACACATAAAACAACATCATTGAAAACAACTCTACCTTGAGTAGTTTAAAATATCGTCTAACTTCTTATAATTTCTTGAGGATAAATCAAAAAGTATCTCTCTATATTTCTGAGATGAGTTATTATGAACACTATTTACATTATTCGGACTATTGTCCTCATTTTGTTGCCATATTTGTCATAACGTTTTGGCCGTTGTACGCTCCTGCCTTCTCCTGAGACAACCAAGCATAGAAATGAATATAATATGGGAACCAGTAATAAGGAGTGCCAGAGAAAAGCGATCATAACGAAAATTTAGTAGAAACATGAATTTATTACAGCAAAAAGTGCAATATGAGCACTACACTGGAAAAAATGTTTGCTGATGACATTAGGTTTATAATACCCAGACATTAACACACAGATGCCCTCAAGGATACATGGCACAGTGGATAAAGGCGGTATTACCTCCAGTGACAGGACACAAAGCTGCATAGTCAGTTTTGAATAGAATCAAAACTAGCAGGGGTGGACAGGGGAGCTCCAGCCCAAATGTGTCAGCAATGCACCATTTCTTATCTGATCTCGATCTTGCAATAGTGTAGTATATGGAGACAGGACCCAAAGAGTGTGTTTTCAATACCTGGTTAAGGCGGTGGAGAAATTCGAAAGGGGAATTAACAGGAGATAACTGATAACCATTAGACATGGCACATGGAACTAGAATAGTCTACCCCAGCAAGCGAAATAATGTGTTCAGTTCGACATTCCGACCACCTGAAGAAGGCCGGAGCGTAAACGGCCGAAACGATGTGATAATATAGCAACAAAGATGAGGACAATAGTCCGAATAATGTAAATAGTGTAAATCAAAAAGTAAAGACAATTTCCATACACAGCCTTTATTTCATTGATGAAGAACAAATATGTATATAATTTTTCGATATTGTCCCTCTGCACGGCGATGCACTTCTGGTATCTTTCAACATGATTCTTCACCCCTTCAAAAAGTCACGTCTGCACCACATGCTTGTTTGGGCACACAACGCGCAAAAAGAATTTCCCAAAGTCATCATACATTATGGCTTTTGTAGATTCATATTTGAAGCTCACGATTGAGGCCACCTTTACTTACATGATTTGTCGGTATTCACCCTCTTGTTGTGTACTTTCATAGACGATATTAATGGGCGCCAGGTCGGGTTTCGTCCTTTCACTTTGTTCTACCCAGTTGAAAGCATTTTACTCATACACATTTCGTTGTTTCATGCGCCAACATCCGTCGACTGATTTCCATCTGCCCAAACAAAGCACACGCTGACAAGATTTTCTTCGATGGTGCAGTGGTTAAGTACTCGACAGAATAATGGTTATCGGTTGGCTCCCCGTCATCCCATGCGCACATGTCGTGTCACAGCGCCTCCCTGTTGATTTTAACGCGTAATTTCAAAATTGTCTATACTTTCTGATTTAGCTTTGTCTATGTTCTAGGATGTGTAAGCAAATTATTAACTTCAAAGACACGTCTATAAGTGTATATTCATCAATAGAATTGGTTATTTTCTATAGCTGACGACTTCTGATCTTTGTTGAATTTTATATAAACTCTCAGAAATGAAATACAACTATTACAATAATAGTAGAGAATAAAAGTATATTATGTTGATTTAATTTTTTTAAAAACTTTCCTCGCTCAGTAGACCATTATTAATTTTGTTAATAGCCCTTTGATCTTGGTTTCAATTGCTTTCCACGTGCAACCACTAAGACTGTTATTCTCAGGCCATCCACAAACAATGGGAATTGGAAACAAAGAAGAAGTTTGCCTCGCATCTTTATACTTCAGAGAGACAATCTTACCGCGATAACTGCACTTACCGAAGCTGGAGCCCTCCGGCGAGCAAGCGATGACATATAACTACTTCCAACCAGTCTAGAAATAATCGAATTTAGACAGAAAAAAAAAGTCAATTAGTAATCTCTATTTTAATATTAACCGGAAACTTTAATAACATCAATAAAGAAAAGTGCAGACTGATGGAAATAGATATATTTTATAAATGGAACAAACCTTCTTACCGTCAACCTGAATCCAATATTATAATTTGCCCGCCAATTATACGCTTCTAATGCCAATGCTTTCATCTTATCACTGAGATAACTTTGTCATCTGTAGAACTTCTAGATGTTTATAAACACTGCTAGCTACCTTTTTCATAGATTCCTCAATTGGACAGCATATTATTATTAGTAGCAGTAGTAGCAGTAGTAGCAGTAGTAATAGGAGAATCGTTAGTATTAGTTGTATCAGTAGAAGTATTATCATTAGTAGTAATAGCTTTAGTAGTATCATTAATAGTGTTAGTCGTATTAGTAGAAGTATCATTTGTAATAATGTAATAATACTAATAGTAATTATGCTATTACTACGGTAGCATCATTAGTAGTAGTAGCAGTATTATCATAAGTTGTAGTAGTAGTACTATGAATAGTGCCATCATAAGTAGTATCAGTATTATTATTGGTGATGGAAGTAATAGTAGTAACACTAGTCTTAGCAGTAGTAGTGTATCAATAACAGTTATATTAATTCCCGAAAATTGATAATTTCATTGCTTGCACATTAACGTTAAATTGCAAATGCTGCATAAGAAAATTTGGCTTCAAATTGATTATTCATAATCAAACTTTTCGTTACCTTTAGACATATTCCTTTCTTTAATAGATTAGGCGATAATAGCAGATAAAATATGGTCGCATGAAGGAATATTTATTCTATCATTGGACAGCAATGACACAAATCTTGTTTCCGTATTTCTATATGACCATGTTCAACAATAACCACATGCTAATTTCATGGTTGTATGGACGGATCTCCTTTGAACAAAAGAGAAGATTCCAGAAATGGAAAATATAATATTCTAATCTGATGTTTGTTAAATAAATCTCTGACTCCAATTCTGGCAAAGTTTCTACTTGAAGTTCTAAGACGAGGAGTTTTCAGTATATGCTTGTATTTCTCGTTGTTATTGCAATGTTTCGATAATTGTGCCCCTGTTTTTCATGAGTTATTTGCGGATCCTCGCCGCCTTCTATAAATTTCGAACTGAACCCTTTATTTTTTCTATGGGAGTGGAATTTTCTTTTTTTCTCGTTCCATTGTCCATATCCAAGGATATCTCATTTAGTTCTTCTTTATTACAGTTCTGGTATTGCTGTCCCCTCATAACCTTGCGCAATAAATCAAGAAAGTGAAATGTCATTAAGTTTTAAACAACATACACAGCAGGTGCAGTAAGACGTGAGACTATCGTAAGTGCATTTGATCGAGAAATGATGCGGTGATACACATCAGCAGATAGTGAAGTTATATGGCGCCAAGATCTCTATTCAGAAATCTCTCAAGAGACATAAGTTAATTAAAGTGTAACTTCATGAATTTGGTTATATAATAACCGCAGTTCCAATCCCTGGATCCGAGCAGTGAGCACATGCAAAGTTATTTGGACGTTACTTGAATTAGAAATGTTTCTTAATTCTTTCGAAGATGTTACCTGTGCGGCCATTTGCTTTTCAAAATGCAGGTGAGCGTTCAGCTCTATCACCGTATCGCTCTATTAATCACTTAATCTGTTATTCACATGTGATTACGTAATCTCTATACAATATAACTCGTGTGACAAACCGTATTTCTCTCATCCAGTTCAAATTTGAATGTTTTAACTGTAAATACCTATGGAATCAATGAGGTAACTTCTGGTTGATTTCTTAGCTTAGATATTGCCTTAAACATCTCAAAGGATTTTGAAAAGTTTTGGCACAGACTGTTATTGCATAACAGTTTCTGGAATTATTTTAGTAATCATCACTTCCTTCCTCTCAGATGAGTCTAGGAAAGTAGTTGTAAATGGACAGTCTTTTGAAACGCATGCAATCAATACAGCCATTTTGTAAGGCTCGCAGTTATAATTACTTTCTGATATTTATTCACGGCCTGCATATGTACATTCTGGAATCACTAATAAATATATGAGTCAAAGATACTACTGACGTGGGCAAACTCAACGATACGCTCTTCGTTAAATTTTCCTGGTGTTTTGCAGTTAGTCTTTGTTTGTTGCAAAATCTTCTGTAAAAATTTTAGCAGTGTTTGAACTCCTAATTTATATTGTTTGAATTTTGCTATCGGCCAAATTAAAATACAAATTTTCTTTCTGTTGCTTTTGCAAAAGTTAAATGCAAAGATTACAAGACACCCAGGCTTCTTTTTATAAGACTATTTGGTTTAAATAAGTGTTTTATGGAGATGAATTTTATGACATTCACTGGGGGTCATATTTAACGAAATGAATTAGTCTGTATACTTTTGCACATTTTTCCACGATTTTATGCGGTCAGCGAATATCTGCGCAGCTTGGAAAATAACTCTGATAAATAATAAATCACAAGCAAGACATTCCGTTCAAATAGCATAAAACTTTTCAGACAGTCGACATCAAATGATTTTGTTGACTGTTATTTATTACATTTTGGTAGCAAAGCAAGTGATACCGTCCTGGGTATGACGATAAACTACATCCGCGTCCTGGTAAGACGATAAACTCCGTCCAACAGCAAGGCCTCTGATCAGGAGGTTTTGAGCAGCGTGAAAACACCTCTTAATTGCTGGTGTTCCCAGGTTCACCCTGAGCCGGGGTGGTAGCACCTATTAGGGTCCCAGCTATGCGCAAATAGTTAACCCCAAAACTATGGTAAAAACACTATGAAAGTGTAAAAATAAGTTTTAATACCAGAAATACTCCGTACAAAATTATTACCAGCAATAGATTTTTCTAGAAAAAAAATTACCAGCAATATACTTTTGAAGAAAAAATATGACCAGAAATAGATTTTTGACAAAAACAAAATATTACCAGCAAAATAAATTTTGCCGGCATTAAATAACCCATTGATGTTGATATGCCGTAAAACAAACCAAACCAAACCAGATAGATAGATAGATAGATAGATAGATAGATAGATAGATAGATAGATAGATAGATATATTCACGCATACATGCATGCATGCATACATAACTAGTCATCAAACTAGCTACATAGATAGATAGATAGATAGATAGATAGATAGATACTCATATATTTATATATGTTTGGGAGGCAGCTCGACGTTTTGTAATGGTTATCAAGCGTGTCTTGTTAGAAGAATTACGACCGAGTAGTAGTTACTTCGATCATCACTGGGTACTCTATTTCGGCCTTGTGCCACATCTAAACTAAGCTTAAAAATCACCATATATATATATATATATATATATATATATATATATATATATATATATATATACAATGAATCTCAACTACTGAACAACATAGAGTATTTACTACTGTATTTATGTGCATCCATTACCGTTCGTAGGTAGGCTACAACAGTATGTAAACCCGTTATATAAACAGCTATTTAAATTAAAAGGCGCGTCTACACAATTAAGGGTGTCTTCTAACTACTTAGGGCTCTATCACTCTGAATATATGTGTGTGTGCGTGCGTGTGTGTGTGTGCGTGCGCGCGCGCCTGTGTGTGTGTGTGTGTGTGTGTGTGTTAACAAAGGATGAAATTTTAAAAGATTTTGGTTACCAACGATTTTCATTGAATTGGTCATTGGCCTGGCATATTGTCTTTTTCTTCATAAACGGGTTATACTCGATATCGTTTTGAAGAACCGAGGAAAATGTTCTCTTATCTTGTTGTCCTCAAGGACACATAGTACATTGGATAAAAGCGTTGGTTAGATCCAGTGACAGGGCCCTAAGTGTATGAGTTCAATACCCGGTTAAGGCGGTGGAGAATTTGGAGATGGGAATTAACATGAGATGACTGATAACTGACATCCATTAAAACATGGCACGTGGAACTAGAACAGTCTACCCCAGTGAGCGAAATAAAGGGTTCAGTTCAACATTCCAAACAACTGAAGAAAGCCGGAGCGTACAACGGCAGAAACGTTGTACTAAATATGCCGAGACAAGTCCGAATAATGTAAATAACAAATGTTTTGAAATACTTTTTTTTATTAAAAGATAAATAAGAACTTTAATCGAGATTATTTTTCATGTCAAGAAATACCGTTTTTTTTTCATTACTGATCGGAAGACAACAGAAAAAGATGTTATCAATTTTATATTATAAGAAATACAAAAATTCTATATTTGAATATTAAACACAAAATATTAATTTAAGTAAATATGTGTTCATTCGACATATCTGAGTTGCTTTAAGCATATATTAGCTAAATACTTAACAAAAAATGCTTGATTACAGAATTCTTTTCAAACACAACAACGGCTCTGCCAATTCTTCTGATCAGATTGGAAGAACATAAAAATAATTTCTATGAGAGAATCAAAAAGCATCATCATTACTGACTTGATATAGCGTCAAATTATATTTCATAACTATTACATTTTAAACGTAGACATTTTGAAACAGTTAATTTCGTAAAATAGGCCGCTTAAATTCAGTGGATTCTCAAAAATTGTATGAATGGCTCTTATCAACGTTTACTGGGTTGCCTTGAGGCTGATTAAGTTTGTGTGGAGAAATAATTCTTATATTTAAAACTTCTCTTTTTAATTCTATTTTTTCATAAAATTTATCAATGCTGTATGTGTCAGAAGACCGCTCTGGACTCATTAATTCCATCTTAACTCACGTGCAATCTGAACAGAATTTACAAAACATGCCAAGTACTGTACCGGACACTCAGGTTTGCCTCGTGTACAATGAGCACTGCAAGTCAGGTGCCGGTTTCAAGAGTCATTGTCGTTCTCACGAGAAGTGAATGTATGGATAAAACTTGACATCAATGGTCAAATTCTATTAAAACAACATCCAATATGTATGAAAACGACTGGTTTGTTCAGTTGTGAGTAATTATGATTAATGTTTTTTAATACTATAGTCCTCTTTTTAGTTTGTATAGCGTAGGTTTGAATTATTGATTTAATTTATTATTATTAATTATTTACATATCGAAAAGAATTTGTGTAGAGACACGTGAAATTAATGACTACCGGAATAATCATTGGAAGTGTTATTCAAAAAATGTTATCTCCAATCGAGTAATGAACAATTATTTCATTTTTTAAAATATGGGAAACCATTTTCAAGCCAAGTGTGCTTTACACTTTGTAAAGATTTTTTTTTTATCTCAAGGTCGGTGGACATTAATTTCACTGATTAATAAAAAAAATTCAATGTACTCATTAAAGGTTTATAGTTTTAAAGAAATTTCGTTTTGAACACATTACATCAAATCGTACATGAGAATTTCCTTTGTAAATACATCAAATTATATATACATACATACATACATATATATATATATATATATATATATATATATATTCATGAATTATTCACACAAAAACTAAGAGAAAAAACAAGAACAACATCTATTCCATACCAGAAGATGTCTGTAGGAACAGACGAAAGCTTGTAGTAAAAATAAGAACTAATGAGGCAGAAATTTATAGAAACAAGGATCTTTTCATTCATAACGGATTCGGAGGTTTTTGTATATTATTTGAATTGTTTGCGACGATGGATTTCTCATAATTAAATCATTAACCTTGCATTTGTTTTTTGTGAATAATTCATGAATTTGTAAATTGATTGCACGTTTATCGAAACACACACACACACACACACACATATATATATATATATATATATATATATGTATGTATGTATAGTTGTAGGTATCTTTAAATCAGAAAATGTAGCATACCAAGCTACCATTTTTCTGAAAGTAAACATCAATGACAAAAAAACAAGAAACCAAACCGTTTTATCTCAGCTCCCTCACACGCTGCTCATAAGACTACTGAATATTTGAAACAGTTAGGCTTCGATGGACCTCGAAAAAGGAAGTGGCCAGCAAATTCTCCGGATTTGAACCCAATCGAAAACCTTTGGAGCATCATGAAGCGAAGACTGTACGCCAACGGATGACAATTCAGGAGCAACGCTGAGTTGTGGGAAGCAATTCTTGACATATCTCGTGGCATTACAGCAGATGACCTCCTACAATTAACAAATTCAATGGGTCGTCGACTTCTTCAAGTAATTTCAAAACAGCACATTCCCTATTAATTTGTTTAAAACTGTGCCTTTGTTTGTATCTGTTATTATTTGTTTGATTATCTTATTTATTAGCTTTTTTTTATCATAAACATTCACGTGCAACATTAATAAACGTTTTGTGTGCTCAATTCTGGGATTTTTTACTAAACCTTTCTAATAATTCGGCACGCTCAAATCACAGTACTGATAACAAATATGGGCCAGATTGTTTACATTGCGCAGATCAGGTCAAAACTTTCAGTGATGGCGCAGGTCAGTGTTGCCAACATTGTATGAAAATTCTGTGGGAATTGATTCAACGGTTTTTTGAAATATTATAAAAAAGTTATCTCTATAATAATTTGGCACGCAGTGTATAGTATATATATATATATATATATATATATATATATATATATATATATATATATATAATCATAAGAATCGAAATTAAGATATCATTATGTAAATAATCACTATCCCCTTGGTTCTTTTCAAACAGTCAATGGATGACTGAAGATTCCTGTAAATTTAATTTTACAAAGTGAAAATGATAATTTACATAATGGCATATTAATTTCGATTATATGATATATATATTGCTCTGTTTATTATAAAAACATTGAGCTCTATATGTGAGTCAGTTTTGATATTTAATATTTAATAGTGTATTAATAGGATTCACTTGTATTATATACCAACGGATTACTACCTATATATATATATATATATATATATATATATATATATATATATATATATATATATATATGTGTGTGTGTGTGTGTGTGTGTGTGTGTGTATGACTGGTTGTTCCATGAATATGTTCTGCTTTTATCCTAATTGGTCACGAATTAATTCTGTCCTGTGCGTGAGTGGCTAGATACATTCGGTCAAATCAATTGACCGTTGGTCGGGTAGAAATTTCTTCATCCGTTTTCTTATCTACGTGAAATTGTTCATTGTTCATCCATTTTTTTTTATTTGAGACAAGAATTGAGAGAGCGCGCCGAAAAGCAAAAACAAAAAAAAAGAAAAATGGTTTCACTTGATTGTCCCTTGCGATTAATTGAAATACAATTCAATTACGGGGAGTGCGGATGAATGAAGCAACAAACGAAAACCTTATGAAATATTGTGAAAGAAAAATGATATTTAGATTGAGAATGACTAATATTATAAAAATGATGATAATTAAATTAACATTTCAATCATTTATTTTATCTTTAGCCAGTGTACCTTGTTTGTATAATCATTTCTTTATTTCTTTAAAAGATTTTCATTTTTTTTTTCTATTTCTTTTCTTTATTCATCCTCTCTTTCTCATTTATTTTCTTTATATTTCTATGAATTCTGGTTCATTTCTCCTTTATCTTGCCATCTCTGTTTCTTTTCTTCTTTTTCACCATCTGTTTCTTTTCTTTTTCTTCACCCTCTTTTTATCTTCTTTCTTCCCCCTACATTTCCATTCTTTTTCCTTTGCTCTCTCTCTCTCTCTCTCTCTCTCTCTCTCTCTCTCTATATATATATATATATATATATATATATATATATATATATATATATATATATCGTATTATGTATATCCCCACCTTTTAGGAGTATTACGCGTCTTCACTTCATTTCATGTTTTCCTTTTTTTTTCTCACTTACTCTCACCCCTTTCTCTGTCTATATTTAAATATATATACAAGAAAAAGTAAAATTGAGAAGGTGCTATATATATATATATATATATATATATATATATATATATATGTACAAAAATTTCTAAATATCACACACATGCCTGTCCCCACGTACGCACATATATATATATATATATATATATATATATATATATATATATATATATATATATATATATATATATATACACGCGTACACACACACACACTATTTACATTATTCGTATTATTGTACTCATCTTTGTCGGCATATTTATTACAACGTTTCGGCGTTGTACGCTTCGGCTTTTTGCTGGTGGTTTTTCACGATGTAATAAATATG